GTTTTTATTTTAGCTTGGATTGTTTAAATGCTTATCAGTGGTAATGCTGTACAGTTTATAAATACAGCAGGTGGCAAATACGTTGTTTTTTGTTTTTTTGTTGTTATTTCTGAGATAGTTTCTAACTTTGTTTCCCTGGCTAGAGTGCAGTGGTGTAATAATCATAACTCACTATGACCTCAACCTCCTGGGTTCAAGTGATCCTCCTGCCTCAGCCTTCCGAGTAGCTGGGACTACAGGCTCCCACCACCGCACCTGGCTTATTTTTCTATTTTTTGTGGAGACGAAGTCTTTTTTTCAGACTGGTCTTGGACTCCTGGCCTCAAGCAGTCCTCCTGCCTCAGCTTCCCAAAATGCTAGGATTATTGGTGTGAGCCACCTGCCTGGCTAAAGACTTTTCTAATTAAAATTATTCAGTATTTTCTAATATGAGAAAAGCTAAAACAAACAAACAAAAAAACCAATGAGAGCAAGTTTCAACAAAACTTTATGTCATGGCTTGATTGATTTAAATTTTTTTAAAAGTTTGGGTAAAAATGATAAAAATGCATATATTTTTAACATCATCACTTATTGTGCTATTTTAACACCAAGATTTATTATTTGTGAATTCTTTGAAAATCATTTTGTAGTTGAATTCTTCAATTTAGCTTTAAGTTAAAGGAATGTGGATCAGTCTTCAAAATTAAAATATAATTAAATAAAATCTTTAACAAATATAAAAAGGCAACTGTTGCCATCTAATGTTAGATATGTTATCAGTTTAAAGTGATCATCATAAAGCACTTATTTTTTTAATATAAGTTTGTGAGGGAACTCAAGTGTTACTAGTTTTAATTACTGGGTACTATCTGGTGATTTTTGCTTGTTTACTTTTAAACTTCAAATTATTCTGGTACATTTCTCTGCACTTAATTGTTGATGAATTGTATTCAGCTTAGTCCATCAGAATAGGCATTTACATACAAAATTTTATATACTTTTCCAGCAGTATTTGTCATTAGTCAATATATCTTTTAGAATTCTGGAACATTTATGTTTCTCAAAGTTTTCGCTAAGGGAATTATATTCATATTTAGGAAACATTAGAATTCCTTGTTCAGCTTGGATTTGAAGAATGTATAGAATTAATTTGTGATTCACATTTTGGTCAGAAAATAAGGTTATGTTTCTACATTAGCATTTTGAACAGTTGATATCAGTCCAGAAAAATCATGCCAAATTAAATCTAGCATTTTTTCTAATAATGTTTAAAATTGTTCTTGTAATGTTTGAATCCTTTTAATCAATTAATTGCTTTTTCTTTACAGTAGGTGTAGACAGCTGAAGGGTGATCAATTTTAAAAAATTCAGTTTTACTTAAGCACTTTAGATTTCAAAATTGTACTTTTAAACAGCTACATTGTATATTAGAACTAGAAACATCTAAGAAATAGGGGCCTACATTACATGAAAAATATAATACATAACAAATTTTATGACAAAAATGAAAATAATTTGTTGATAGTCAATATGAATGAGTTATTGTGCTTAAAATTGTAAGTTTTCAGTTCATCGCTTATTTGGCCTAAGTTAAACAGTGGTTTTTTTTACAAATGTGCACTTTGACTTTGCATTTAAATTTGAAGAACATATTCATTGCACAAGAATAAGGGTAACTAAATCAGAGGCAAACACAGACCTTTTAAAAAAATAACCATTTTATTTTGTAATAAATTTAGAATTATAGAAAAGATAGTACAGAGTTCACTTATAATCCTTACACAGTTTTCCCTATTTTTATATTATTTTATCCTAGTATATTTGCCAAAACTTAGAAGCCTACATTAATGCATTAGTATTAAAGTTTAAACTTTAATTGAATTTTCTTATATCTTTTTTCTGTACCACGATCCAAACTAGGATACCACATTGCATTTAGGATAATGCCTTTTAAAATAATTTATGTTATTTAATGCTTGATGCATATAAATAATATATTGTAAGCTTCAGGAGAGCAATAATTTTTTTTCTTGTGTCAGTGTCTAGATCAGTACAGCATATCTTGGAGATATTGTGAGTTCATTTCCATACCACTGTAGTAAAACAAATATTACAATAATGTGAGTCATGCACATTTTTGGTTTCCCAGTAGATATAAAAATTATGTTTACACTATTTTGTAGTCTGTTAAGTGTACAATAACATTATGTCTAAAAAATGTATATACATTAATTAAAAAGTACTTTATTCCTAAAAAAAATGGTAATGAGCATCTGAACCTTCAGCAAGTCATGATCTTTTTGCTGGTGGAGGGTCTGGCCTCATCAGTGTAGGTGGCTCATGACCGATCAGGGTGGTGGTCACTGAAGGCTGGGGTAGCTGTGACAATCTCTTAAAATAAGACAACAATGAAGTTTGCCTCATCAATTGCTTCTTTTTTTCTACAAAAGATTTCTCTATAGCATGGGATGCTATTTGATAGCATTTAACCCAGTAGAACTTCTATCAAAATTGGTGTCAGTCCCCTCAAACCCTACTGCTGCTTTATCAACTAAGTTTATGGAATATTCTAAATCCTTTATTGTTCTTTCAACAATGTTCATAGTATCTTCACCAGGACTAGAATCCATCTTAAGAAACCACTTGCCTTGCTTGTCCGTAAGAAGCAATTACTCATCCGTTCAAGTTTTAACACAAAGTTTGCAGCGATTCAGTCTCATCCTCAGGCTCTACTTCTCATTTTAGCTCTGTGCTATTTTCTTTACATCTGCAGTTACTCAATCCCCTCAAAGTCATCCATAAGGGTTAGAATCACCTTCTTCCAAATTGCTGTTAACGTGGATATTTTTACCTCCTCCCATGAAGCACATGTTTTTAAATGGCCTCTAGAATAGGGAATCCTTTTTAGGAGGTTTTCAATTTACTTTGCCCAGATCCATCAGGGGAATCACTATGATAGCTATAGCCTTATGGAATGTATTTATTTAGAACAATGACACTTGAAAGTCAAAATTATTCCTTGATCCATGGGCTGCAGTCTGAATGTTGTGTTAGCAGGCATGAAAATAACATTCATTTCCTTGTGTATCTCTGTCAGAGCTCCTGGGTGTCCAGGTGCATTGTCAATGAGCAGTGATATTTTGAACAGAATCTTCTTTTCTGAGCAGTAGGTCTCCACAGTGGGCTTAAAGTATTCAGTAAATCATGCTGTAAACAGATGTGCTGTCATCCAGGCTTTGTTATTCCCATTTCTAGAGCACAGGCAGAGTAGATTTAGCATAATTCTTAAGGGCCCTAGGATTTTCAGAATGGTAAATGAGCTTTGTCTTCCACTTAAAGTCACCAGCTGCATTAACCAACCCTAAATGAGAGTCAGCCTGCCTTTGAAGCTTTGAAGCCAGCCCAGCATTGACTTCTCCTCTCTAGCTATGAAAGGGCTAGGTGGCATCTTTTTACAATGGAAGGTTATTTGTTCTACATTGAAAATCTGTTTAGTGTAGCCATCTTCATCCGTGATCTTACCTAGATCTTCTGGATAACTTGCTGCAGATTCTACATCAGCATTTGCTGCCTCATTTTGTACTTTTATGATATGGAGACATCTTCCCTTAAACCTCACGAACCAACCTCTCTGTTAGCCTCAGCCTTTTCTTCTCCAGATTTCTCACCTCTGTCAGCCTTTATAGAATTGAAGATAGGGCCTTGCTCTGGATTTAAGGGAATGTTGTGGCTGATTTGATCTTCTATCCAGACTAGTAAAACTTTATACTAGCAATAAGGCTGTTTTGCTTTCTTATCATTCCTGTATTTAGTAGAGTAGCACTTTTAATTTCCTTCAAGAGCTTTTTCTTTACATTCATGACTTGGCTAGCTGTTTGGCACAAAAGGCCTAGCTTTTGCTCTATCTCAACTTTTGACTTGCCTTTCTCACTAAGCTTAATTATTTCTAGCTTTTGATTTAAAGCAAGAGATGTGCAACTCTTCTTTTCACTTGAATACTTAGAGACTATGTGACTTAGAGATCATTAATAACCCCTGTGGCATTATTAATAGGCCTAATTTCAATATTCTTGTGTCTCAGGGAATAGGGAGATCACAGGAGAAGGGAGAGAGACAGGGGAATGGCCATAAATGTCAGAGTATTCAGAACACACCTTTATCGATTAAGTTTTCTATCTTATATAGGTTTGGTCCATGGTGCCTAAAAATAATTTCAATAGTAACATCAAAGGTCACTGTTCACAGATCACCATAACAGATTTAAAAGTAATGAAAAATTTTGAGATATTATGAGAACTACTAAAATGTGACACAGAGACATGAAATGAGCGTGTGTTGTTAGGCAAATGGTGCTGGTAGATTAATGCAGGGTTGCCACAGACCTTCACTTTGTAAAAAAAGAACAAAAAGCAAGATCTGCAAACTGCAATAAAGCAAAGTGGAATAAAATGAAGTATGTTATCTAGCTGGCAGTCAATAAGTATTTGTTATGTGACTGAATTAGGCTATAAGAGTAGGAGAAACACTTTGAAAATAAATATTGGTGATTATATCTTTCTTATAGGAACTAGAGTTTTGTTCAATCTATTTGCATTTCTTCACAACTTTCTTTTTTATTAGAAATAGTGAGAAGTCTTGGAAATGATTGAAATGAAACGTATTGAATATATTAGTGAATATAAAATGAACTGAGGTTATAAGATGCAAATTTTTGGCAGAATATATGAACAGTTTATGAGTATAGGACTGTTATTGCACTTTTTACTTTTTAAAGCAATATTAAGAGGGAGTTAAAAAAGTGGTATTTTACATTTTCTCTACAAGTTTAGACTAGCATATTGAACCTTTATACCATGGATAATCTGTTACAGCTGTTTTTGTTGCACCTGTTTTCCTACTTAATAATTAAATTTCCTGAATCTTAAAATTGGCTTGTTTTCATCAATTCATCATAGTAATGTCGGTTTATTGCCATTTAGTACTGATTTTGATTTACTTTATATTTTTATATTTCTTAGCTCACAGAAATGCAAGCTGAGAGTAGTTATTATAGCCCACAAAAAGTAAAATCTAAAGAAATATTGTGTTGGGAACAAGAAGGAACTACAGTGGAGGTAATCTTTCAACATTGAACATATATTTTTAAAGTCTTTGGTTAAGTTAATGTTTTATAAATATAGTTTTTTATCATAAGTAGTATATTTGAAAATATGTTTATAGTTTTATATTTCTATCCCAATAGTCAGTGGTGGTGGTTAAAATAATTATTGCTTAAACAAAGATTTTACTGTAATGTGCAACATTAATTCACTTTTTCATTTTCTTCATTTAACTTGTATGTGCTTATGCGTCTGTGTGGATATGTATGTATACATTAATGTTTATGAAATGTAGGTTTGAGGATAGAGAGATAAGTAACATGTTTCTTATTTTAATAGAGTTTTTGCTCTAAGGAGAATAAATTTGAAAAGGCCATAACCCTGAAGATGTTTGACTAATTTAGAAATTATACAAGGAAAGCCTCTAACACGTTTATTCAAGTTCTTAGTTCTAATGTTTCTTTTCCTCTTATAGGCCCTTATGATGGGAGAGCCTTTCTTTGATTGCCAGATTGGATTTGTAGGTTGCAGAGCCATGTGCCTTAAAGGAATTATGGGTGTTAAAGATTTTGAGGAGAATATGAATAGAAGTGAAGCCGTAAGTCAAAATCTCCCATTTTCCCCCTTTTTGGATAGGATGCAGGGATAATGAAGTGCTTATTGAAGTGTTTAACTATGTAAAATCTGTTAGACTACATATATCTCTGGCTTGAGAGAGAAGCTTTACTATTTCCTCCTGCATTTCCCCTGCAAGAAATTATAGAGCTCAGGGGAATTTAGAAAGTTGGTAGCACTTAACACCTGGAAAATAGTTCTAACTACTTTCTAATTCATAAATGTTTCTTCTTTTTTGTTTATGGGAGCTATTTGGAGTTCCTTTTTGGTTTGTTAAAATGATCTTTGCCAAAATAGGCAATGAAAATGGAGACAGCATTCCTTATCTTTTTATAGGACCTCAAGTTTTAATGATTTCTGTTGACTAGTGAAGGGGTGTTATAAAATCAAGGTTTTATTTTCTTTTCATAGTCTAATGATTTTTCCTGCTGTTCATAAATTTTGGCTTTTGTTTTCAGGAAGCCTGTTTCTTCATCTGTGGTGAAAATTTGAGTACAAAAGGTTTGACATACCTTACAAATTCATTGTTTGATTACCGAAGCCCAGAAAATAATGGTACTCGTGCAGAATTTATCCTGGATGCGGCTCATCATAAGGTCAGAGAACATATATTTGAGCCAAATTCTGGGCTGTGTTTCAGTGGACACATTGTGTGAATACTTGTGATTGCCTGTTTATTCTCAAATGATGTCTTCTGAATGCTAATTGTTTATTGAAACATTTAGAATATTTTTGTCTAGCTTGTACACCTAGAAAAGTTTGAGGAGTGCACAGAGGTCTTTACTTTTATGTAGTATGTAACCATATTTTGTTTTTCCATGCCCTACTTTTAAAATAGTCCTGGAGGAAACACATTAAATTAGCTCTGTTAATTTTTTCTTAGTTATAGAGTGTGGGATATATGGAAAGAAATGAGGAATTTAGCTTTTTATTGTGTATACTTTTTAGTTGTTTGAATTTCTCATGTAAGATTATATTAATATATTTATGGGATATTAATATATTTATGAAATAAGTTAAATTCAAAAAAGTTACCTGAAGATCAGTGCAATAGAATAATTTACATTTTAACCATTTTCATTTTTACTTTCATAGTTAGAAGAATTTAATGTTGACCTGCATTAAATTTATAAATTTATAAAAACCTGTATTTATAAAACATTTTTACCATTTGAATTATTTCATATAAATGTACTGAAGTATTTAAGGATTAACTCTATTTGAGAGTTTACATCATTGGACAGTTTTTTGATCGCGATAAAGGTCAGGAGTGTATTGTCTCCTACATTATAGGTATTTATTAACTAGACATTATTGGTAAAGTGGCCAAAATGTCTAGTAGAATCATGGATGTCTTTTTGTGTGGTCTGTGGGAGAGGTAACATTACGTTCCTTAGAAGTAAATTCTTTGGATAACCTCTGCTCTTTTGCTTTGGTAATCCTTTTTGTTGATATACATTCTATGTAAGGATATGTGTCTGACCTATCAGATTTTAACTTGGATGTTTCTTTTATGCAATGTTTTTCTGTTTGCATTGCTTTGTTGGCAGGAGACATACACTGAGATTGCTGGAATGCAAAGGTTTGGGGCTTTTTACATGGATTACCTCTATACAGTGGAGAACACCAGTGGCAAAGGTATTGGCTTCTTTGCTTTATGTTTGCTTTTCCTTGAACAGTTGAAACAAAGACTTCTTCAGAATCAGTTGATCTTTGGTTGGCTGTACTCTGTTATATAATATTATTTACCTTCTAGTACTTTGGGGAATGGTTTAATTTTAATGTCATGTTAGAATTTTTAGATTTTTGCCATTTTTAATCCTTTGTACAACTGATTGAAGATATTTTGCATAACCAAATATAATTCTTATATTTACCAAATATTTAAA